CCCTCTACCTTCTACCCTACACTCACCCCTCTACCTCCTACCCTACACTCACCCCTCTACCCTACACTCACCCCTCTACCTTCTACCCTACACTCACCCCTCTACCTCCTACCCTACACTCACCCCTCTACCCTACACTCACCCCTCTACCCCCTACCTTACACTCACCCCTCTACCACTTTACAGCGCGACCAACAGCCAGGACGAGCTGTTCGACAAGATCATCGCGGGGAAGTTTGAGTTCACGTCGCCGTACTGGGACAACATTTCGCAGTCAGCACGCGATCTCATCGCATGCATGCTGCACATCACCCCGGACACTCGCATCACCGCCGTCGACTGCCAGAAGCATCCGTGGGTCAAGGTGGGCGAGCACGCGGCGAACCTGCGTATAGTGGTCACCTCCGCGGAAAGGCCGTCGTGTTCGAAACGGCCACTTTTGGCAGTTGCATTGAGTAGCGAACACAGTTTTGACAGAACGCTAGATAGAACACGCAATGTGTTAGTCACACCGCCATTCTGTCGAGCTGTGTGTAATGTTAACGGACTTCCGTCGACGTTTTTATTTTATTTTACTTCATTCGTAACACGTGGTGAATATTTATTTACTGTTCTCCTCTCGGAACCTTTTTATACATTTTTGTGTGTAACTGTGGTTACCATTTTCGCCGCGCGCGTCTTTCGTCGCCATGCCGACGACATTGACGATGTTTGTTGTTGTTTCGTCTGGCAGGATGGCATCGCCGGCGACAGCGACATGCACGTGTCTGTGGCGCGTAAGCTGACGATGCACTTTGACATGAGCAAGCACGCGCACACACCAACGTCAGCCGGCGCGGCCGTCATCGCGGTGAGTAGCTATGCCTCTCCTCCCTCGCCTCCTCCCTGCTTCCTACTTGCCTCCCAGCTTTCTCCCCACTGCCTGCCTCTCCTCGCCTCCTTCCTGCCCCTGCCTCCTCCCCGCCTTCTCCCCCGCTACCTACCTCCTCCCCCATTCTTGCCCTTGCCTCCTCCCCGCCTTCTTTCCAGTTCCTTCCTGCCTCATTCCCGGTCCTTCCTCGTCCCGCCCCCTCCTCCCTGCAGCCTCCCAGCCTCCTCTCCTCCCCACTCCTCCTTGCCTCCTGGTCTCCTCCCCACTCCCTACCTCCTCCCTGCCTCCTGGCCTTCTCCCCACCATGTGTGCCTCAGCTAACGTGTGACAGTTTTGTGATTATGTTTCCTACTTATGATTGTGCAATTTATATTTTTTTAAATATTATATATGCATTGTTATTTGCCCCTCAGTCAGAGCATAGTACAGTCATAAAATTTATTATAGCCAGCCAGCCAGGTTGCAATAAGGATGCACGGACACAAACAGGCAGACAGACAGACAGATCTAGTATCAGTATGGCTTGATACCATTTATAACAGTTCTTTGGTGGAAATTCTGACACATACTGTCAGTACACATTACACGTAGTATATGTAGGAACATGATGAAACCAACAATATTGTTGCTCTCTATCGTTGAAGCCTTTCATCTTTATTGATGTGGATGTCCCCATTAACACGTTAGTGTGGGGGGATTTGAGCTTGTATGAGTTGGTTTCTTATAACACCTTGCACCCGTGTTTTTCAGTCGACCGCGCTGGATAAGGAACCTTGCTGGCCCAAGCGTGTCTCGCACGAAAACCTCTATCAAGACGAATACTAGGCGGAGCATCGAGCTTTCTCTCCATCCCCGCTAAGCTGAGATGCCAGACACTGCAGCATCAGAACTGTGCAGCATCACTGCAGCATCACTGCAGCATCACTGCAGCATCACTGCAGCATCACTGCAGCATCACTGCAGCATCACTGCAGCATCACTGCAGCATCAGTGCAGCAACACTGCATCATCACTGCAGCATCAGTGCAGCATCAGTGCAGCATCAGTGCAGCATCAGTACCGTGCAGCATCACTGCAGCATCAGTACCATGCAGCATCACTGCAGCATCAGTACCGTGCAGCATCACTGCAGCATAAGTACCGTGCAGCATCACTGCAGCATCACTGCAGCATCAGTGCAGCATCACTGCAGCATCACTGCAGCATCAGTGCAGCATCAGTGCCGTGCAGCATCACTGCAGCATCAGTACCGTGCAGCATCACTGCAGCATAAGTACAGCATCAGTGCAGCATCAGTGCCGTGCAGCATCACTGCAGCATCAGTACCGTGCAGCATCACTGCAGCATCAGTGCAGCATCAGTGCCGTGCAGCATCACTGCAGCATCAGTACCGTGCAGCATCACTGCAGCATCAGTGCAGCATCAGTGCCGTGCAGCATCACTGCAGCATCAGTACCGTGCAGCATCACTGCAGCATCAGAGGCGGAGACAAAATAGCCTGCCCAACGCCAGCGACGACGCCAACAAACATCGCCGAGAAAACGCTCTCTACGCGAATCATGTAGCCCGACGACAACACAAGACATGAGAAACGTGCTCTACGGCAGAGACTGCTAGCCCCGACGCCACACGCAAACATGCAGAACGTCTCTACGCGCATGTCAGCGAACGATCGCCCGCAAGACATGAGAACGTTTGCGCGACGCACGTGCTAACGACGGTACGCGACCAAAACATGACGAAACCGTCTCTAACGCGCTCGCTAACGACGAACGCGCCAAAACATCGAGAACGTCTCTACGGGCGCATGTAACGACCGACGCAGCAAAACATGCAGAAGCCGTCTCTACGCCGCATGTAGCAACGACGGCGCCAAAAACATACACGAGAACACGTCTCTAACACGTGTAACGACGACAATGCGCAAAACATGAAGAAACGTGCTCTACGCGATGTAAGCGGACGTCGCCGACAAAACCATGCAGACAAGCAACGTCTCTACGCGCTGTCGAGCGAACGAATGCGCAAAACATCGAGAATGTCCTCTACGCGAATGTAGCGACGATGCGCAAACATAAGAAACGCTCTCTACGCGCTAAAGTGTAGCGACGCACGCCACAAACATGCAGCAAACGTCTCTACGCGAATTAGCTAAGCCGACGACCACCGCAAACATGGAGACGGCAAACGATCTCTACGTGGGTGAGATAGTCAGCGAACGTATGCGCAAACAATAACTAATGAGAACGTCTCTACGCAGAACATGTAGCGGACGCCATCGCTGCAAAACATAGAGAAACGTCTCTACGCGACCTGTATAGCAGACGTATGCGCCAAAACCATGAGGAACGTCTCTACGCATGTAGCAACGACGCCGCAAAACATTAGAACGTCTCTACGCCGCTGTACCGGACGATGCGGCAAACATCGAGAACGTCATC